TAAAAAAAAAGTAAATTGAAAATTTTTATAGCGCGCGCACTTTATTTCTGATAACTTCCGTCGGAAGCTTCGTTTAAATTATAAAATTATAGAAGATTTTACCGATATATTTAACCAAAAAAGCTTGTTAATTTTATTACAATTTTAATCTTAAGTTGTTTATAATAAATTAATAATTGTATAAGAAAACTGTTGCAAACGCATCGAAAAAGAGATAAATATCGGAAATTGTACTGTGGATTATTATTGTTCGAAGCGCGGAAAAATTAAATTAAATTTACGATTCAATTTGTCAGTTTTATGACTGCGCAATTTAAAGTGACACTGATATATCTGATGGGGATTTATCGCGTTTCTTTTCCAATTAAAGTTCGCCGAGGAATGAATGAACGAATAAAGGGAGTGAAGGGAAGCGAAAAAGGGGGGAGAAGGAGAGTTTGATGAAAAAAAAAATAAATAAAATAAAAGACGCAACGAGAGAAGACACGTAATGGGGTCACGAATCGGGCGTCGCGACGCCACCGACTTTTAATTCGACCGCAAAAACGGAATCGGCATCCATTATTTAATTTTCCCATGAATAAATAAGATCACTGTATTATCCTAACTTCACTAGGATTTCAAGTATTCATTTAGTTACAACTGTCGGAATTGCGTGCGTTTTAAGACGTTGAATGGAAGCGGTAGATCGATGATATCTGTGTGTTTACCAATATAAAAATAAAATATTTATCGTGAAACTAGGAAAGTTTTCGTGTTCCATCTTGTTGTGTGGTTTATTGCGAAACGCTTGTTTGCTGCACGTCTCTTCTGTAGTTTTATTTATTTATTTTTTTTGTTGCTTCGGTTGTTTGTTTGTTTGTTTGTTTGTATGCATTCCCTGAACCGCTCATGCAAAATAACAAACGTTTTATTCGGGAGGAAAACTTCCTTCGCATTTACTAGGTTTGCGTTTTTCCCGGGAGGTAGAAGAAAACGCTCTAAATCAAAACTTCCATGTAAACGTCTAATTAGTTGTCGTGGCCGACCAATTTATTGTCATCTATTGTATAACTAATATGTATATTTGTTAGGGCCATGACTTTCATCTTAATTATTACAAATCATATTTAATGTATCCATCAAATATACAAACGGATTCCGAACGACGGTTACACATTAAATCGTTTAGTTGCGTCTATTGCATCACCACTTAACAGCCTTCTGCAGCCCCTAAATATTTGGGCAGGATCATAAAACTTAGATAAAGAAACGGATGTGTTTTCTACAAGGTCAAAACCCTTACCTCCCACGCAGCCCCTTTTAAAATGAACACATTTTTGTATTATATAATTTAGTCTTAGTTAGGGAAGCGAAGAGAGAAGAAGTCTTAGTTAGGGGAGCGAAGAAAGAAGAAGTCTTAGTAAGAGGGTCCAACGAAGAACATGGTCTTACTTGGGAGAGTCCAAGGAAGAGCACTTACTTCATAAACACTAACTTAAGAGGAGAATGTAACTCTTAGTTAATAATACCTGAGATCAACTATTGTTTAGTTGACTTCTCAATAAAACTCCGATGAAAACAAAGACTCCGCAACGACATAACTACGAGATAATCCACGGTGTCTAAGGATTTCTTAACCCTGGGACACGACATAGTCACAAAATGGATTAGTACTTGAAACTTATTAAGAATTCTTCAAATTTTGATGAACTAGAAAACAACTTGAAATTGAGTGTTGGGGATTTGGTGTTCGAAGGAAGTGACTTTACCTAACGACACTACCGGTTAGTGTTATTTCAAGCTAACTACAACAAAGTGGGATTTACGGTGTATCCCGATGAGCGGTTAATTAGGGCGTCGAACAAACAACCAACCGTGACCGGTATATTCGCATGCATGTACGTATGTATGCATGCATGCGTTATAATTATTAAACCGGGTATGAGCCGTCGCTCGGTTATCATATCCAGTTGCCAAATGTGATAATGAACACGTACCAGGCATGGTGTCCAAATCGATTATTGCCTCTGGCTCGAGGTATTAATGTTGGATGGCATTCCGTGGATTTTTCCGCTCTCCGAGAGCGAATTCTTTTCGCGGATTTTCTAGTAAATATTTCGAGGACGCTGAGAAGTATTCTACTGCTGCGGGAGCGAAGGGATGTGTTGTTGCCAGAGAGAGAGAGAGCAAAAGCGAGGGAACGAGCAGTACTCCGTTAAGGAATTTTGATTATTACAATGTAGGAACAATGAAGGAAGGAAACGCGCAAAAATGCTCCTTGTTAAAAGCAGAAGAACGCAAAATATTTCC